TTTAGACCTTTAATTAGCTAAGTAAACATGTACTGTGAGGTTTTTAAGGTCTCATTCATTTTATATGCCAGATGCATGTTAAGGAACATTACTGCATAAATGTTTTTGTCTTAAATTTGAAGCTTTTTACTAATATAGAGATATGTTAGTTTTAAACCTCTTCAAATTAGGGTAGACCTTTACTTTAAACTCGGCAATGTGAGTGTGTTGTGTGAACTTGTGTTAGCGAGACAGTGTGTTTTGTGAACTTAATTGTGTTAGCCTGACAGTGGGTTGTGTGAATTCTTGTTAGCTTGACAATGTGTTGCGTAAACTCGTGTTAGCGGGACAGCGTGTTGTGTAAAATCGTGTATAAAGTGTAAGTGTGACAGTGTGTTGTGTAAACTCGTGTTAGCTAGACAGAGTGTTGATTGAACTTGTATTAGCGAGACTTCGTGTTGTGTAAACTGGTGTTAGTGAGACTGCGTGTTGTGTAAACTCGTGTTAGCGAGACTGCGTGTTGTGTAAACTCATGTTAGCGAGACAGCGTGTTGTGTGTATTCTTATTAACGAGACAGCATGTTGTCTGAATTCGTGTTAGCGTGACAGTGTGTTGTGTGAACTTGTTATCCTGAAAATTTGTCGTGTGAACTGGTGTTAGAGAGATAGTGTGTTGTGTGAACTCGTGTTAGCAAGATTGCATATTGTGTGAACTCGTGTTAGCCAGACTGCGTGTTATGTGAACTCGTGTTAGCCATATTGCATGTTTTTTGAATTTGTGTTAGCGTGACAGTGTGTTGTGTGAACTCGTGTTAGCCTGACAGTGTGTTATGTGAAATGGTATTAGGATGACAGTGTGTTGTATGAAATGGTATTAGGATGACAGTGTGTTATCGCAACAGCGTTTGGTGCGAACTTGTGTTAGTGAATAGTGAGACAGCCTGTTTTGAGAATTCGTGTTAGTGTGACAGTGTGTTGTGTGAACTCGTGTTAGCCTGACAGTGTGTTGTGTGAAATGATATTAGAATGACAGTGTGTTGTGTGAAATGGTATTAGGATGACAGTGTGTTATCGCAACAGCATTTGGTGCGAACTTGTGTTAGTGAATAGTGAGACAGCCTGTTTTGTGACTTTGTGTTAGCGTGACAGTGTATTGTGTAAACTCGTGTTAGCATGACAGTGTATTGTGTAAACGCGTGTTAGTGAGACTGCGTGTTGTGTAAACTCATGTTAGCGTGACAGTGTGTAGTGTGAATTCATCTAAGCGTGACAGTGTGTTGCGTGTACTTGTGTTAGCTAGACAGTGTGTTGTATGAACTCGTGTTAGCGAGACTGCGTGTTGTGTAAAACTTGTGTTAGCGAGACAGCGTGTTGTGTGAACTTGTGTTAGTGAGACAGCGTGTTTGTGAATTCATGTTAGCATGATAGTGTGTTGTGTGAACTCGTGTTAGCCTGATATTTTGTTGTGTGAAATTGTATTAGCGTGACAGTGTGTTGTGTGTTAGTGTGACAGCGTGTGGTGCGAACTTGTGTTAGTGCGAAAGTGTTTTTCAGTGTTGTGATGGCGAGCTGTGTGATAGCCTAATGGCGTCTTTTGTGTCGGTAAGATGGCACGCTTTTATGAAAGTGCTATTGAGCTTTAGCAAGTGGCCCTATCTGGACACGCCTTATTATAATTGATCAGTTCTCAGATATACAGTGAATTACCGGTATTATTGTCACCATGAAATCAGCATTTACAGTTGCAATTACCTAGTTAGTAATCATAAGTTATTGGTTTGTCAGTTTTAAAATTATGGTGTTCCAATGATGTGAAGTTGCAGTGTGTCAGCATGTTAATTTCAACAGACTGCCACTCCAATGCAGCTTTAAACAACACGCTGCTGTGTTTACACAAAACAAAATATCATGCAAACACAACTTTAAACAATCTGTTGAGTGTTAGCTTCACTGCATGTTGGATTCAGTGTGCTGGCATATTATCACTGACATACATGCTAGCACATTGTCACCTCGTGCTAGTATGTTGTCATAAATACTCTAGCACATTATCCTAAACCCACTAGTGCATGATTACTTTGCACTTGTATGTTGTCTTATTAGGGAATAGCATAAATGACTGCCTTGATTGGTGTAAACTTCTTTTAATTGATGAAAGAGTACATTAAAATTTACAAATTATACACAGAAAATGTGACAATATCTTATCTCTCAATTTGATAATCTAATTTATAATCTCATGAATTGCACTTTTTATTAGTAAAAGAATTATAGATTAAAAAATTTCAATTTCTTTTGGATAGGTGTGACTCATCTGAAGACTGAATTTTGATACCAAGCATGACCATGATTTGCCAGAAGATCATCTGTTTGGATGTGACATGGAATAAACAGCATAGTGAAAATAAGTCAAGTTTTGGTTTGTGAAGACAATTTTTAAACACACTGTGTATCATTTTAAATTTTGATTTGACAACATAAATCCACAAATATGAACATATCAATTGCTCTCAGTTTTTCAAGTGAAACAGTTTTTGTAACAGAAATATATGTACCAGTAATTACATTGGAATAAATGTTATTTTTAAATATAATAATATTTTGTTTGTGTAGCATGTTGACCTCTTTATTAAGGTCTTCCCTTTCAAAGTTTAGACTTACTTATTCTAATGATTAAGATAGATCCTCTGTCTTCAGCAGGAATAGAAGATCTTGTAATACATGTATGTGTATTTTTTACAGTATAATGTAAAAAAAATTGTTATTTTGGCACATACAACTAATTAAAGGCATAAACATGTGTATGATTCCAAGGAATTCAGTACATAGGGCATGTACATGTAGTTTTCTAAAACAAGATTGAAGAGATGTCCAGTCGCATTTCAATGTCAACTGCAAAACTGTGCCTGTTGCATATTTATTAGCCCATCTGAGCTAAAGGAACCAGGAAATTTTTTAAAAACATAATTTTATCCATTATCATCATTGTCTAAAATTTCACAATATCATTTTCCAGAACCAAAGTGAAACTTGGCACAGAGCATCCTTAGTGTAGGGGATTCAAATTGTTCTTATGCAGGGCAATACCTTCAAAGAGATTTGTTTCTTTAATGCTGTAAATGTATTATATTTAGCTTGTACAATATTTGGTGGAAATTGACTTTTGAATAAGTTAGCGTAGATATTCTTATTTATGTTTATGTACAAGAATTTTAGCTTTGTACTTGATTTAGTGATTGCTGCATTCCGCCAAAGCCGCTAAAAATGAATACACAGCCATATGTAATATGTTTACAATATACCTTTCAGAGAATTTTACACTCCTATTGAGGTATCACCAGTTACTAGTGGAAAGCTGCAAATTCGAAACATACACAACACATTTCTGTGCGTTTATTATAAAAGTATTGTTCTACTTACTAATTGCAACTAATGAAGATTGTTCATCATTATTGTAAATACATTTGGATTTTTTGAATTATTATATAATTTGTTTATTTTATTTACCTAGTTATATTGTATATTAAATGATTTTAAAGCCATTTTTAAGATGGTAATGTAGCAAAACACTAATGTTTCTGTAGTATGACACGTTTCACAAACATGATATATCCGATATCAAAAGTCATAATATTGGAAGTTAAACTGTTGTGGTACGATTTCAAGAATGCTGTTAGAGAGAGTACCCTTTAGACCTCATGCTCACACCAAATTAAAGAATTCAAGTAAGGGTTTCTGAGACAAATCGAAAAAGAGAATGTTAGCAAAGTTGACAATCTAGACAGAAACATTTAATCTTTTGCTTATCGCTAGGAAGGAAGACCCACTCGTTGCTTTGCAACGAGCTTTGCTCTAGTTATTCTTTTTTTTTTTTCCCGCTCGACTTTTGACAGGCGATTTCTCAAAGACCCTTGGACTGATCGTTATGAAATTTTCAGGATAGATAGCTTATAGTAAAACCTGTTTAAACCTGTTTTCAGTTTTTTTATGCATGCCTTTATTTGTGAGTTATTGCCCTTTAATTGAAAATTTTTGATGTCTCGTTTCCACTGAAAATCTCAAAAATGACATAAGATATTTACACGAAAGTTGGAGAACTTGTAGCCAATACATTGTAGATGTGCACAACGATAAAATTATATAGCTAATTTCTTAAAGTTTAGAAGCTATAAAACGGCAAATTTTAGTAATTTTTTTTCTTTGAATTTTTGCTACTTTTTGTGTAATAACTTTTAAACCGAAAATAATTTGGTAAGAAATATAGAACAAAAGTTGTGGGTAATTACGAGAGCTTTCATATTTGATTAACGAAAAGGGGCTGGCCCCTGTAATTAGGGGTTAATAGATCATACACTCTTTTTTCTGATAGCTAAAAATTTTGGTATATTATGAAAAAGTTTGACTGAAATAATTTCAAACTTATAAAATCTTGTCATTTGATATAAAAAGAAATAAACTTCCAGCTATATTTAATTGTTTTTCTTATAAAACAAGTACATGTATGTGAGAAACCTTTCAGGAACAAGTTGTCTACTATAGCCAGCCAAGCCTTTACTGCATACATGTGCACATTTTTAGTTGATGCATCTAAAATATATAGTTTGATTCGTTGTTTATTTGTTTTCTTTTTGTTAAAATAATTTTAAAATGTGATGATGTACACAACAATAATTCGTACCTAGTTTAGAGGATTTTTTCGCGCTTGTTTGTAAACAACGCGCGGCATTGTGGGAAATAGGAAGGTACTAAAGACGCGATGTACTAAACATTGATTTGACCTGATTCAAATTTGTCTGTAAATGTTCTAAACAATTGAATTTTTGTATAGCATATGCCTCGAAGTCATAAAGTCTGTACATAAGTAATTTAAAATACTCAATATTGCCATTTAATTCAAAATTAAAACGTCAGGTAAATATCAGGTCTCTAGTATATCCCGTTTTTAGTGTGACCCTTCGAGTCGACGTCGGACACATGTTTGCCATGGTTTACAAACTGAAAATAGAATGATTTCTGAAGTTTGAACATTTTCTCACAAAGAATCCGTTTGTAGACATGTACACTCATTTAATCTGCAGCTACGAAGTACTTTGTCACTTCTCTGAAACATTATTCTAAGCAGAATTATCCCGATTCATATATTCTAAGAATCTTGTGTGAATTGTTTACGAGGAAATTCTGACTGTCACATTAACAAGGATGAACACTCTTGACTCTGCTTCGGATTCCCCAGTGATAATTGTGTCGAGTGATGAAAGAGCTGACGGCGACATTTTAATGTATGATTGGCTTGGACCATTGGAATGAATGTTAGAATATTTTTATACTTAAAATTTACACTACTGATTACATGACAGTGACATACATTGATGTTATTAGAAATACACAGACACACCGATATATTATCTGTTTTACAGTTCAGACGCTCTCTGTTTACCTTGTAAATCCCCACAGCTTTATATTTTATTTTTTTTAAATTTGGGGATGTAATTTCAACAGTCCTACTATCTATCATAGTGATCATACTCTAATATGTTCTACGGTGCGACCGTTGGGGCGAGCGCAGTTATTGACTATCCAAACCTTTACACAGCTTTATTTTATTTCCAAAGGAATCGGGATCGAGATTCCGAACTTTTCGGAAGTTTCCGACAAAATCGGAAATACCCGAGCCGTTTAAGTGACGAAAGTATGACGTCAAATAAAAAGTCTTGTAGACTTAAAACGCAAACGATATCTCTGTGGCAAGGATATTGCATAAAAACGTTGTTTGTAATTTTTTTTCAAGTAAGTTGTTGCTATGTTTTAGCCTTCTGGTTGCTATGCACCGCAAAGGATTACTGGGATTTTAGAATTTTTTCACGCGGTCAGATAAAAATTTTTTGGAACAATGTGCAGATTTCAACCCGAATTTCCTCCGTTCGTACACGTTAGTCTATTGAGCTCGCTGCGCTCGCTATAATTCAAACTGCACTTAATGTTACAGAATATATTCAACTAATTATATATTGACAGTATGACTGTAAGGGTGAGGGCAGATACTTATTTAGTTTTAATTTAGATTGTGCTTGTCAAGCCGCATTTGACATTTTGTGCATCCATGCTCAGTGTTCACACTGAGAAAATTATTCAAATGTTTAATTCGAATGAATTCACTGCTCATTAAATTACTTCCCATTAGCTCCATGTGAACATGAGTAAGGATAGCTAGTTCAAATTAAATAGAAATGAATTTTGAATGTAGCTTAAACATGTTAAAGAAGCTAAGCACTGTGGGTCCAAAGTATACTGCGGAAAAATTGTGTGGAGCAATGTGCAAGTCACAATCTTCTTTTGCCAAGGTCTTATCATAAGAGCTCGCATTAGACATGCATTTCCAGATTTGGCGATCTCGAGACCTTACTCCCACACTGACTCTGACAGTTGTTTCAAAAATTTTAGGGGGCGTGTCAAAATTTGATTTATTTACAAAACAGTTTCCTAGATGAAGCAACGTATTATGTAGCATTTAAGGGCACACAAGGGTATATTTTTCATGAGTTCAGACTTACTAAAATTAAAATGACCTTTCTCTAAATGTTTTGTTACTTTATTTAAAGATAGAACTCTTCTGTAAATAACACAATTTAAATCAATCGCGTTAAATAGAAATCCGAGGTTTAAAACAATAGTCAATTTTTTCTGACTCGGTTAAAAATACCATTTCAAAAACAGTTTAAAGTCAATTTAACTTACATGTATAGAGATATGGGGATGATATTTGGGTTCAAAATCGGTGATTTTATTTTAAATTTAGATAGCAAATATTATATTAATCTTTGTTTAATCTCGAGTTTTATTTTTTTTTAGTTCAGATATGTCATACCTAGTACGAGGGTTGTTCGGAAATTATTGAGACAAATACATTTACTCCATAAAGGATGGAGATAATTTCATGAAAATTCATCGACATCTAATAAAGAACGTATAAAACACTTAAGCAAATTTACTAATTCCTACGATAATAATATAAGTTTCGGTGAAGTAATAAATATGCATATGTCTATCGACCCGGAGCAACCACGCTATGTCATTTAACGTTACGTTAGCCGTAGAATGTTTTTGCACGTGAAACGATAGGGAAGCATTTAGTACTCTTCCGTCTTAGTTATTACATATATAACATTACAAAAATCATACAGTCTATTTTCTTAAACTACTCTTTAAAAATGTATGCTGTTGCTACCCCAGTCAAAAATTTTCATTTATGGGAAAGGACCACTTAGAATCACGCGGTGCCAATTTATGTAACGCGGGTTAAATACCGTATTGATATCAATACTGTATGAAATAACTCATGGTCGTTTAGATCTTTTAAATTTACTCTTGTTTAATTAATTGCTAAAAAAATGCATACCAAGGAAATAACAAACCCTAGCACATTGTTTTTTTTCTCGTTGCTATTGTTTTAGCAGGTTGTTTAGTCTTGAAAAGAGTTCTGTATTGCGCTACACAAAATTTAAGGTACGCTGGCTGCTCCGCCCTTGACGTCAAAATCCATTTTTTCGTTGTTTGCAGATTTCTCTACCGCGCTTAATTTTTTATGATATCCGTATTTCTGATCAAAATTCTATCAAAGTTGCACAACATGAATTTGAACCAAAGCTGAAAAATTATACACTTAAACTGAATTATTTTCGCTCTCATTATTGATCCACGAAGAGTTAGAATTTTGAGGTTACACATTTTCAATGTCCGATTCTGTGACTGCTCCGGGTACCCCTACTATTGACACATTTATATAACATTGTAGAGAAAATATTTAATATTTGTAAAATATTTCTTGCTCTTATTAATTATTAGTGTATGTCAAACGTATATGCCAATTTTCACTGAAAGACGTTCATTAAAAAGCAAAATAAACAAAATGTCGCAATAATTTTCGAACAACCCTCGTATATACCTTTATAACCCTTTATAAAAAATCTTTATACGGCCCCTTATGTATCGAAGTACAGAGTACGAGTCCGAGCACGTGGCGCTCTTAGCTGGAAAAGTCTTATGGGCAGGGATTTGTGCTGCTGTCTGGACTCGCTATAAATAGATGCTCTCAAAAAGTCTTAATTATTTAATATCATACTTTACTGACAAAAAAGGACAAATATTGATCAGTTAAATTGCAAAAGAAATTTGTTTAAAAAAATTGTAATGATAGAAAGTTTGCTTTTTTGTTTGATAAGACTGCTATACATGTAATGCTATACATGTAATGGTTTAATGTTTGTTTATTTGCCTTAATCATACATTTTTCAGTCATTTCATGGTGCCACCACTTGGGATGGTATTAGCTGCAAATAAAGACTTGTACTCAGCACTTATTGCCTTTAAGAAGTATGAGATCCATTTTGTGCTAACACTTACCGTGACACAGAATTTTGGTTTATGCAGTCTCATAGGAGTAACCTGTCTAAAGCATTTAGCAATGGGATTGGAACCTGCGACGTAAGGTTCAGCTTCTTATTGATACTTTGATTTATAATCTGATAATATTTTTTTGAGAATTTCACTCATTTACATACTTAGAGATGTTGATATATATTGTTGAATAGGATCAATTTAGACCTTTACTTAGCTAAGTAAACATGCACTGTGAGGTTTTTAAGGTCTCATTCATTTTATATGCCAGATGCATGTTAAGGAACATTACTGCATAAATGTTTTTGTCTTAAATTTGAAGCTTTTTACTTATATAGAGATATGTTAGTGTTAAACCTCTTCAAATTAGGGTAGACCTTTACTTTAAACTCAGCAATGTGAGTGTGTTGTGTGAACTTGTGTTAGCGAGACAGTGTGTTGTATGAATTTGTGTTAGTAAGGTAGTGTGTTTTGTGAACTTAATTGTGTAAGCCTGACAGTGGGTTGTGTGAATTCTTTTTAGCTTGACGATGTGTTGCCTAAACTCCTGTTAGCGGGACAACGTGTTGTTTGAAATTTTGTATAAAGTGTAAGTGTGACAGTGTGTTGTGTAAACTTGTGTTAGCTAGACAGAGTGTTGATTGAACTCGTATTAGCGAAACTTCGTGTTGTGTAAACTCGTGTTAGTAAGACTGCTTGTTGTGTAAACTTGTGTTAGCGAGACTGCGTGTTGTGTAAACTCATGTTAGCCAGACAGCGTGTTGTGTGAACTATTATTAACGAGACAGCATGTTGTGTGAATACGTGGTAGCGTGACAGTGTGTTGTGTGAACTTGTTATCCTGAAAATTTGTCGTGTGAACTGGTGTTAGAGAGATAGTGTGTTGTGTGAACTGGTGTTAGCGAGATTGCATATTGTGTGAACTCGTGTTAGCAAGACTGCGTGTTATGTGAACTCGTGTTAGCGATATTGCATTTTTTTTTAATTTGTGTTAGCGTGACAGTGTGTTGTGTGAACTCGTGTTAGCCTGACAGTGTGTTGTGTGAAGTGGTATTAGGATGACAGTGTGTTGTATGAAATGGTATTAGGATGACAGTGTGTTATCGCAACAGCATTTGGTGCGAACTTGTGTTAGTGAATAGTGAGACAGCCTGTTTTGTGAATTTATGTTAGCGTGACAGTGTGTTGTGTGAACTCGTGTTAGTCTGACAGTGTGTTGTGTGAAATGGTATTAAAATGACAGTTTGTTGTTTGAAATGGTATTAGGATGACAGTGTGTTATCGCAACAGCATTTGGTGCGAACTTGTGTTAGTGAATAGTGAGACAGCCTGTTTTGTGACTTTGTGTTAGCGTGACAGTGTATTGTGTAAACCTGTGTTAGCGTGACAGTGTATTGTGTAAACTCGTGTTAGTGAGACTGCGTGTTGTGTAAACTCATGTTAGCCTGACAGTGTGTTGTGTGAATTCATCTAAGCGTGACAGTGTGTTGCGTGTACTTGTGTTAGCTAGACAGTGTGTTGTATGAACTCGTATTAGCGAGACTGCGTGTTGTGTAAAACTTGTGTTAGCGAGACAGCGTGTTGTGTGAACTTGTGTTAGCGAGACAGCGTGTTTGTAAATTTGTGTTAGCATGATAGTGTGTTGTGTGAACTCGTGTTAGCCTAATATTTTGTTGTGTGAAATTGTATTAGCGTGACAGTGTGTTGTGTGTTAGTGTGACAGCGTGTGGTTCGAACTTGTGTTAGTGCGAAAGTGTTTTTAGCTCACCTGAGCCAAAGGCTCAAGTGAGCTTTTCTGATCAAAATTTGTCCGTTGTCATCGTCGTTGTAAACTTTTCATATTTTCATCATCTTCTCAAAAACCACTGGGCCAATTTCAACCAAACTTGGCACAAACTACCCTTGGGTAAAGGGGATTCAAGTTTGTTCAAATGGAGAGCCACCCCCTTTTCCAAGGGGAGATAATTATGAATTTATTAAAAATTAATGGCATTTTTTAAAAATCTTCTTCTTCAGAAGTGCTGGGCCAGGACAGATGAAACTTGTATAGGATCATCCTCAGGTAGTGTAGATTCAAGTTTGTTCAAAACATGACCCCTGGGGCAAGGGTGGGGCTAGAATGGCCAACCCCAGATTTACATAGGAATATATAGATAATATCTTTAAAAAATCTTCTTCTCCAGAACCACTGGGTCAGGAAAGATGAAACTCATGTGGAATCATCCCCAGGTAAGGTAGTGTAGATTCAAGTTTGTTCAAATCATGACCCCTTGGGCAAGGGTGGGGCCAAAATGGCCAACCCGAGTTTTACATAGGAATATATAGGGAAAATCTTTAAAAATCTTCTTCTCAAGAACCACTTAGCCAGGAAAGACGAAACTCATGTGGAATCATCCTCAGGTAGTTTAAATTCAAGTTTGTTCAAATCATGACCCCCGGGGCAAGGGTGGGACCAAAATGGCCCACCCAATTTTTACATAGGAATACAACAGAAAAATCTTTAAAAATCTTCTTCTCAAGAACCACTGAGCCAGGAAAGATGAAACTCATGTGGAATCATCCCCAGGTAGTGTAGATTTAAGTTTGTTCAAATCATGACCCCTGGGGCATGGGTGGGGCCAAAATGGCTGACCCTAGATCTACATAGGAATATATAGGAAATATCTTTAAAAAATCTTCTTCTCAAGAACCACTGGGTCAGGAAAGATGAAACTCGTGGAATCATCCTCAGGTAGTGTAGATTCAAGTTTGTTCAAATCATGACCCCTGGGGCAAGGGTGGGGCCAAAATGACCGACCCAAGTTAAACATAGGAATATATAATAAAAATCTTTAAAATTCTTCTTCACAAGACCCACTGGGCCAGGAAAAATGAAACTCATGTAGAATCATCCTCAGGTAGTGTAGATTCAAATTTGTTCAAATCATGACCACTGGGGCAAGGGTGGGGCCAAAATGGCCGACCCAAGTTTAACATAGGAATATATAATAAAAATTTTTAAAAATCTTCTTCACAAGACCCACGGGGCCAGGAAAAATGAAACTCATGTGGAATCATCCTCAGGTAGTGTAGATTAAAGTTTGTTCAAATTATGACCCCGGGGCAAGGATGGGGCCAAAATGGCCGACCTAAGTTTTACATAGGGATATGTAGAGAAACCTTTTAAAATCTAAATTTCTTTTCAAGTACTTCAAAGCTATGTTAATTCAAGCTCGATGTGCTCAGGTGAACGCTGTGGCCCCTGGGCCTCTTGTTTAGTGTTGTGATGGCGAGTTGTGTGATAGCGTAATGGCGTCTTTTGTGTCGGTAAGATGGCATGTTTTTATGAAAGTGCTATTGAGCTTTAGCAAGTGGCCCTATCTGGACAAGCCTTATTATAATTGATCAGTTCTCAGATATACAAGGAATTACCGGTATTATTGTCACCATGAAATCAGCATTTACAGTTGCAATTACCTAGTTAGTAATCATATGATATTGGTTTGCCAGTTTTAAAATTATGGTGTTCCAATGATGTGAAGTTGCAGTGTGTTTGCATGTTAATTTCAACAGACTGCCACTCCAATGCAGCTTTAAACAACACGCTGCTGTGTTTACACAAAACAAAATATCATGCAAACACAACTCTAAACAATCTGTTGAGTGTTAGCTTCACTGCATGTTGGATTCAGTGTGCTGGCATATTATCACTGACGTACATGCTAGCACATTGTCACCTCTTGCTAGTATGTTGTCATAAATACTCTAGCACATTATCCTAAACCCACTAGTGCATGATTACTTTGCACTTGTATGTTGTCTTATTAGGGGATAGCATAAATGACTGCCTTAATTGGTGTAAACTTCTTTTAATTGATGAAAGAGTACATTAAGATTTACAAATTATACACAGAAAATGTGACAATATCTTATCTCTCAATTTGATAATCTAATTTATAATCTCATGAATTGCACTTTTTATTAGTAAAAGAATTATAAATTTAAAAAATTTCAATTTCTTTTGGATAGGTTTGACTCATCTGAATACTGAATTTTGATACCAAGCATGATCATGATTTGCCAGAAGATCATCTGTTTGGATGTGACATGGAATAAACAGCATAGTGAAAATATGTCAATTTTTGGTTTGTGAAGACAATTTTTAAACACACTGTGTATCATTTTTAAATTTTGATTTGACAACATAAATCCACAAATATGAACATATCAATTGAACTCAGTTTTTCAAGTGAAATAGTTTTTGTAACAGAAATACATGTACCAGTAATTACATTGGAATAAATGTTATTTTTAAATATAATAATATTTTGTTTGTGTAGCATGTTGACCTCTTTATTAAGGTCTTCCCTTTCAAAGTTTATACTTTATACTTATTCTAATGATTAAGATAGATCCTCTGTCTTCAGCAGGAATATAAGATCTTGTAATACATGTATGTGGTTTTTTTTTTACAGTATAATGAAAAAAAAATTGTTATTTTGGCACACACAACTAATTAAAGGCATAAACATGTGTATGATTCCAAGGAATTCAGTACATAGGGCATGTACATGTAGTTTTCTAAAACAAGATTGAAGAGATGTCCAGTAGCATTTCAATGTCAATTGCAAAACTGTGCCTGTTGCATACTTATTTATCAGACAGACTTTGTACTCTATGTTTATCAAATAGTGTAGAAGATGAAAGTCACTTTTTGCTTCATTGTACATCATATTCAAATCTAAGAGCAAGCTTTTTTACCAGTATCGAATTTAATCCAACTTCATTTGATAATAATATGTCAGATTTAGACAAAATTAAGTTTCTTTTATTAAATTTCCCAAGGCATATTGGAAAATTCATATATTCAGCATATACTTACAGACAATCTATTATTTATAGTAAACGCAATGCGTAATATCTTTATTATTGAATGTTATATTGTTAAAGTGACATATAGGCCCGATGGGCCGGGTGTTTCAATTCTAAATATATGTATATTTGTTGACAACTGTTGTAATTGTACATAACACATGTCACTATAATAAACCATTTACTTACTTACTTACTTACTTACTTATTGGCCCATCTGAGCTAAAGGAACCAGTAATTTTTTTAAAAACATAATTCTATCCATTATCATCATTGTCTAAAATTTCACAATGTCATTTTCCAGAACCAAAATGAAACTTGGCACAGAGCATCCTTAGTGTAGGGGATTCAAATTGTTCTTATGCAGGGCAATACCTTCAAAGAGATATGTTTCTTTAATGCTGTAAATGTATTATATTTAGCTTGTACAATATTTGGTGGAAATTCACTTTTGAATAAGTTAGCATATATATTCCTATTTATGTTTATGTACAAGAATTTTAGCTTTGTACTTGATTTAGTGATTGCTGCATTCCGCCAAAGCCGCTAAAAAGAAGGATATGGAAATAACGAACAGTATTCAATCTCAACGTCCATTAAACAAATATACAAAATAAGAGCAGAGCACACACAGACCCCCGAAACATCAGAGGTGGGATCAGGTGCCATGGAGGAGTGAGCATCCCCTGCTGACCGGTCACACCCGCCGTGTGCTCGTTGTCATAATCAGGATATAACGGGAAAAATCCGTGGTCAATTCAGTGTATAAATACATGTAATGGACTAACAATTGGTATGAAAAACGTCAGTCAGCATTTCATTCAATGATAAATTGTATTTGCTGACAAGGTCATTGTATCGACCATAGAATTTACGAAATGATGACTTCAAACGAGACCGCTGATATTCTTGTTTCATCAACTTGCTTGTCAAAAGTTTACCTCGTTTAAGAAATTGTTCATACGTAGAGCATGCTCTTGCATATCGAATCAACTGAGATATAAATACTCCGTATGCAGGTGATGAAGGTATATTGCTGCATATGTAAGGGAAGTTGACAATAGAAAAGTTAAAGTCATCACGTTTATCATATAGCTTGGTTGTTAGATTACCATTAGTGTCTTTTTCAAGTAAAATATCCAAGTATGAAGCAGAAGTGTCGGACTCTGTGGTATCTTTTATTTCAAGCTCACCAGGATATATTGTGTTGACGTAGGAATGAAAATTATCATTATTAATAGACAATACGTCGTCGATATATCTAAATGTCGAGTTGAAGGCCACAGCAAGTGTTTTCTTCTTTTCACGTAAAAGATTTTGCATAAATTCTGCTTCATATGAATATAAAAATAAGTCTGCTAATAACGGAGCGCAATTTGTACCCATGGGAATTCCAATAGATTGTTGGAATACCTGGTCTCCAAAAACCACATAGATATTGTCAATCAGAAACTCAAGCATCTTCTTGATGTCAACTTCAGAGTACTTATGTGTGCAATCAGAATCTGTTTTAACAAAATAATTTTTCAAATGACCAATGACGAGGTAAGTAAACTTACGAGTTCCATTTTCGTTGAAGAAGCAGCTGTCAATGATATCAAAAAGCCTGGATTTTAATTTGTCGTGGGGAATTGTTGAGTATAAAGTTGAAAAGTCGTAAGTTTTTATGCTGTTGATTTTTGTAAAGTCTTGTGATTTCAAATTGTCCAAAAGTTCTTTAGAATTTTTAAGTATCCACATCTGATTTACACCACTTCTTGAATATATAGCTGTACAGTACTCTTGAAGTTTTTCCTTCACTTCTGTCAATATTTTAGTGAGAAGAATACACAGCCATATGCAATATGCAATATGTTCACAATATACCTTTCAGAGAATTTTAAACTCCTATTGAGGTACCACCAGTTGCTAGTGGAAAGCTTCAAATTCGAAACATACACAACACATTTCTGTGCGTTTATTATAAAAGTATTGTTCTACTTACTGATTGCAACTAATGAAGATTGTTCATCATTATTGTGAATACATTTGGATTTTTTGAATTATTATATAATTTGTTTATTTTATTTACCTAGTTATATTGTATTTTAAATGATTTTAAAGCCATTTTTAAGATGGTAATGTAGCAAAACACTTAAATGATTCTGTAGTATGACACGTTTCACAAACATAATTGCTAGTGTTGGCAATGAGTACCCGGTTAAACGGTTTACCGTCGAACGTTGCCAGTATCGGTTAGTAAAACTGCTATTCGGTTACTTGGAAGAAATTAATTCTACATAGTAAAGGCATAGGAAATGATTTGCCAACACTAATAATTGCAACAAACCTGATATATCCGATATCAAAAGTCATAATATTGGAAGTTAAACTGTTGTGGATACGATTTCAAAAATGCTGTTAGAGAGAGTACCCTTAAGACCTCATGCTCACACCAAATTAAAGAATTCAAGTAAGGGTTTTTGAGACAAATCGAAAAAGAGAATGTTAGCAAAGTTGACAATCTAGACAGAAACATTTAATCTTTTGCTTATCGCTAGGAAGGAAGACCCACTCGTTGCTTTGCAACGAGCTTTGCTCTAGTTTATCATACCGATTATTTGAAGGAATATTGATCAACCTTAACATTTTTGTCAAAGTGCGTTTATATGGTCGATATTAACGCACTTTGAAAAAAAATTATTTTTTTCAAAGTGCGTTAGCTTGGTCCCAAATTTTAACGCACTTTGAAATTTTTTTTTCAAAGTGCGTAATTTTTCAAAGTGCGTTGTAACACTGCGATAACGCTGTTCCATTTACCACCAGTATGTAACTTTGTTTAACTGCAGACGATTTGTACTTTCGCTGCATTATAATTAGCCTTTATTAATTATATGAATATGTTTGTGGCTTATATAGATTAATCTTTTGGAATATACAATAACAAAATAAGTTTCCTCTTTTACCACTTTATCACTTAAATCACGGAGTTTAAATATGGCGTAGGGAGGTCCGTGAAACAGCCCCGTTTGGCTTGAGAAGCCTACATTCATCAGTATTTTATTTTTACAGCTACTTTCTGCAATATACAGCGTTTACACTGCAAAAGACGACACATCGATGTGGTCTAAATATGAATTTCATTCTTAAGTCAAATGTACATTTCAACTGCACAGGTTTGATACGTGTTTCTGATCTGATAATTTTTTGATGACGTTCGTGATTTATTGGAGAATAATGATTCATTTCTTTGATCTTGGCAATAATCGTAGTAGAAATAAGCATATTTAACCTTTGCCTTAATTAAAAACTGACCTAGATTGTGTAAAACTGACCCAGATTGTGTAAAATTGACCCAGATTGTGTAAAACTGAGCCAGACTGTGTACCTCTTTGACGTATCCCTGTTTCCCTATCTCGGAGGAGATGTTAAGTTCCCTGACCTCCTCACACGTTAACAGAGGATGGCAGCTCTTCATTCCGTACAGCCCGAAGTATCCCGGCTTACAGTTCGGTTTACATTTTTCTCGCTCTTCCACCGCACTCCAAATACAAGTAAAATCCACGGGGTCCTCGTCCGGGGAACGAATTGCCTTTTTCTTGGACAACTGTAGAGCCAGCATAGACGGAATGTTTCTTGATATATAACAGACGGAAAGATACAGAAGGATAGTCCAGAGGAATAAGTACCGAATACAGGGGAGACTTGGTTTACAAATCATTGGAAACAAGCCTCTACCGACCTCATACAACGAAACAACAAAGTTATTTTGGAAACCAAACCTACAAAAGGAAAAAGAAAGTGATTCATTATCTTTTTTCTCAACCAGAAGCAAAAAACGATGTACCCCCTCCCCCGCGTAACCAAAATCTAAAAAGCAAAGAAAATAACAACATATTTAAATTTAATAAAACCTAGAATTAACAAAAATAAAAGATTACAGTATAGTTACATCCTCATCTGCCTTTGATTCAACTACAGTTATACACTACAGACAGACAGACAGACAATGCCTCTAGTACGCCGTAGCAGAGGTATAAAATGATTTCCCTGTGTATAAATAAGGTCTTTAAACCAAGGTCCTATAATATAATATGTGACCTTCCTTCTAACAGATGTTTAGTAATAGACTTTGTATGTTGTCATTGGAATCGATTTCTTTTGTATAACCCTTTTTTTGAATAATTTTGCTTTATTTCCTACATACCAATTGCAATCAGCAATTATTTGAAAGATCTTTCAGATGCGAAATTATTCGACTGACTTTACTCAACTTCAACTTGAAGATCTTAACACATAGATTTTGATACATCTTGTATTCCCTCTTACCTCCAACCAAGAAATAATGAAATTTCAAAAAAAAATATTTCTTATAAATAAAGTTGATAAGTAATTTGAATATTTAAAAAAAATTATATGTATAAAATTGGAAAATGTTTCAAAAGAGCGAGAGAAAAAATACAATCAA